GCGACCGAAAGCACACACACACCTACTCATAAAGCCGTCCTGGACAATGAGACATTCAACATGCATAGAACATCCATAGACTCAAATACCCGAGCACACATAGAACAAGCACCCATACGTCGGGACCTTGCATACATCACACTGGGACAAAGCAGCAATGGAGATAAAAACGAGTTCCTTAGAATACAGAATTTCTCACACGACTGGCCGCCCTAGGCACGCTCACCGGCGCTCAGTCCCTCCGACTGTCTTACGCAAAGTCTATCGCTAAGCCCAACCCACGTCGTCACCCCCCCCCGTCCCTTGGGCTCGTCAAGCCTGTTCAGACATCGCGGACCTCGCGCATAGCTAGTGTGAAGCCTTGCTGCCCTTGCAACTCAGATCAAAGAGAGGGAGAGGAAGGGGATGTAAGAATTTATAGCGCGGAAGGCAGCAGGGGAGTGAGCGCGAGGTGCGGGCAGCATGGGTTGTAGATGGGCAGGACTGAAGACGGGTCGGGGTTCCAAAAGGATCGAAGGAGGCGAGTTGAAGGATTTGTGTGATTGGGGTGGTCGTTCAAGTGGTACGTGCGTTCAGCTCTCACCACATTGATCCAACCATCCCAATCACAGAGCCAATCTTTTATGACAATGGGTAAGGAGAGGATCGGACTTTGCTCGAGGGAAGACGAAGAGGCATGCAAGAAGGGAAGATGATGCGGGGATGCAAGCGGGAGGAAGGGTTTACACGGCGCGTAGAAATTTGAGAAACAGCGCGCACAAAACTTCAAAATTCTAAAATCCTTACCCACACTAATTCCTAACTGTTTCTTGACTTTCTCGGAGCGTCGCTAACCGACCACGCAGGAAAGATATCAGGGGCAATCTCGAAAAAGGAAAAAGAAGTTTCTGTTCCGTCCTTCCTCTCAGTTTAAGAAAAGAAAGGAAAAAGAAAAAGAGAAAAGAAGGAAAAGGAAAAGAAAATGAAACCCCGTTCTTCCCAATTATCTAGAACCCGTACCTCGAGGCTTTGAGTGGGATTTTCGCCTGAGGGTATGGGACGCCGCGGAGTACGCATCCTGACTTATCACATACTGCCTTCAAAAAAAAAAAAAAAAAAAAGGATAACGCTCGCCATTGTACACGATGAACTTCACGTTTTGTGACCGGTGTGGCAGGGCCGATTGCAGGCCCTAAAAACAGCTGCCTTCAGGACTCAACTCATGACCCGGTCATCAAGAACTCGAAAGTTGTTGAGACCCCATCGAGACGGAGACCACCAGGTCCGTGCAACTGCAGGCAAACAATGCTGGCACTGTGTTGGGAACGCCGCCTTTGTTGGCTGCCGGTTCCCTGAAATGTAATCATAATTGTAATACTGAACATTTTATTAAGAGTCTCCATGTGTGCATCTGAAAAAAAAAATCAGTTGATTGACGATTTTTCTCTCCCCGTTTTCATCAACTTGAAGGTTTCCCAGAACTTCATGGGTGGCTGCAAGTCATATCAGAGACGCACTCGCTTCCGCTGTTCAAGAACTGCTATGACAGTAATGCTAAGTTTTTAGTTGGAATCATCCAATGCCATCTGATTCAGTAATAATCATGGAAATTGTTGTTGGGAGTTTCTATGATCATAATTGTGTTTTCAACATTTTTGTTGGCTGGCCTAAGTGTGGAATGCCAAGGTGGAATGGAGTGGAGATACAGGAGACGGACAGTGGGATTTGAAGGAAATAAGAGACTACCGCCTAGTCTTCAAAGATTGGACAAGCATAGAGCCTTCGTTCCCACGAAGGCCTCCCTCTGATTTCCCGGACCCTTTACCACCTCATATGCTCTTTCCCTGGCGGAAATCCTGTCTTGAACATGCCCAACCTTACATCCTCATGTTACTCACATCTTCACAAACTCATACAAGGAGTTCCCCCCTGGAGCCCCCTGGGGAGGAACCCGGTTCCCAGCAGTAGTTGGGAGAGGGAGGAACTAGTCCCTCAGCAGTAGGTATCTGGCGCCTGGTACAGGGCGAAGAGGTTTTTTCCCTTTTTTCTCAGCAACCTGCACAGTTAATTCTCTGGAACCAGAGCAATCAATGCGGGCAGATTTTCTCAGTTACCTTCTCAGATATTTTCCTGGACTAGTCTGTATAAGGGACGCTGGACCCGTTTTCCAGCAGGTGATGCTCCCCACCAATAGATGGAGTGGCCACATAAGGATCTACTAGGCAAGCCTGCTCTTATCACCTTGCCTAGTAGGTTTGAATCGGCCTTGTTTAAAATTCAGAAAAAAAAAGAAAAAAAAAAGAATGCTGGAAGAGAACATGTGCCTAGGGTGATGAGTCCATGATCATGGAAACTTCCAGTTTTCACCCCATTCAACCCGGGCCCCATTGCGTTTTGTTTTCTTCACTTTTTTTCTTTTTGGAACCATTTGTCGTTTACGCATGCCATCCTAAGCTTGTGTAAGGGCCCTGCCAATCTTCTCTCTATCGTTCCAATTTTAGTAGATCATGTCATGGAGGACATTCCGTTGTTTTTCAATTTTGATGTTATTTTGATTGTTTCCCAAACACCTGTTAAATCTCAGCAGGGAGAGGCCCGCCGATCCGTCACATCAGCTGATTTGGATAGCCCCAAAAGTGATCATTCTGCTGCGCACTCACCTTCCGGCAAGATTCATCTTTGCTGCACCCTTCTTTGGACAGTTGAGGTGTGGACTTTTATACTGCCCACCAGAAAACATATTAAGCTCTGCCAATGGGATAACAGGATCATGAATTCAGCACAAATACAGCTGCACCGGACTTATAGTCTGGTAGTAAAAAGGCCCAGAGAGGTGGACTGAGTAGAGACCACTCAATCTCTTGATCACATGGCCAGAAACCGTTCTACCTTGCTGAAGGCGCTTTGTACCCATCCCAATAACGCTGATCTCGGACAGCCCAATAGGTTTCCTTGTGGGTGTACTTGGGAGAAATTTTCGAGATGCCCCTGAAATTTCCATTAATTTGCCGCGTGCCCCTCTGAAGGCCAACTTACCCTGTCGTGCCCCTGGAGTCTCTGAAGTTTTCTGCAGGCCCCTGTCAGCATGGGGCACAACTTTCCGCTATGCCCTTACCGGACCGCAGATGGCGTTTCGTTGGTACCTCCTCGAAATGCCCTCCCAAGGGGCATGCATCTTTCTGTGACGCCCTTGCAGCAGGCCACCGAAAATGCTGCAGCAGTCAGTCTCTTCACATTCGCTGGTTGGAGTTGCTGCCGTGCGAAGGTGAGCGTGTGTGTGTGTGTGTGTGTGTGTGTGTGTGTGTGTGTGTGTGAGAGAGAGAGAGAGAGAGAGAGAGAGAGAGAGGGGGCGCGCAGATCTATTTTGCCGCTGTGCAAAATGAGAATGAATCTTGCCGCCCTCTTGCGAAAGATTCATTCTCATTTTGCAGTTTTGTGTCCACACTGCGTGTGTGTGTGTGTGTGTGTGTGTGAGAGAGAGAGAGAGAGAGAGAGAGAGAGAGAGAGAGAGAGAGAGAGAGAGAGGGCACCGAAGAAAGATCGAGAGTGTCAACAACAGCCACAGGGATATGCTGGAAAGATGCTCGTGCTAGGTACCGGTAGGGGCATACTGAAAATTTGGGAGAGGTACTGGTAGGGGCATATGAAACATGTTTCAGGCCCAAACTACACCAGGGGTTTTCTGGAAACAACACTCTTTGTCAGAGGGGCGCGACAGGGTAAGTTGGCCGTCAGAGGGGCATGCTGCAAATTAATCGAAATTCCAGGGGCATCTCGAAAATTTTCCCATGTACTTTACCTGTTTTCCCATTTGTTTTGGCTGCACGTAGCCCTGCAGTCTTTATTGGCGATTATGTGGCATGGCGGACTTAACAGCATTAAGTCCCACAGCAAATCAAGTACCATGTGGTTCTCCATCTTGCGTGTATGTTTGCATGTGTGTGTGTGTGTGTGTGTGTGTGTGTGAGAGAGAGAGAGAGAGAGAGAGAGAGAGAGAGAGAGAGAGAGAGAGAGCTCACACACTATGTTGCACGCCCGGCCGCGGCCGGGGGGTCCGAGTCGGCCGCGGCCTAGGCCGATAACTGAATCGGCCCGGTTCGGCCTAGGCCGACCTGCCGAGTTCGGTGCAGCATTTTTTTTTCCCATGTTTTACGTGTAAAAAAAGAATATATATATATATGGGCGTGTAGGGCTGGAAAAGCCCTACACGCCCATATTTTTTTTTGGGGTGTCTGACCTTCAGCGCGGCACGGAAAAAAAAAAAAAAAAAAAAAAAAAAAAAAAAAAAAAAAAAAAAAAAAAAAAAAAAAAAAAAAAAAAAAAAAAAAAAAAAGCCCGGGTGGGCCATTTCGGCCCTGTTTTGCTGCCAGCGAGTGAGGGTCCACGCCCAGGCCACGGCAAAACTGTTGCCGTTTTTTATCTGAAACGGCAACAGTTGTTCCTGTTGCCGTTATGCTGCCCAAATGCCTGCTCACCACTCTGTGAGTGAGAGAGAGAGAGAGAGAGAGAGAGTGAGAGAGAGGCTCTTGAGAGAGAGAGAGAGAGAGAGAGAGAGAGAGAGAAAGAGAGATCTTCTTCTTCTTCTTCTTCTTCTTCTTCTTCTTCTTCTTCTTCGTGCAAACCCTGCCGCAGCGCGCGCCGCGCGAGCACGCCTGTCAGCGGCACCGCGCTGCCCTTCGGCCGCCGCACGGCCGTCGTCGTCGCCGCGCGCGGCCTTTCCAAGCGCGCGGCGGTTTTATTGACCGGCCGCGGCCGAACACGGCCGAACACGGCCGAACCCGGCCGATCACGGCCGAACCCGGCCGCACGCAGCCGAGCGAGGCCGTTCGCGGCCGACAGCGGCCGGGCGGAGCAGCCCGCCTCAGGAGGCCGGTCGAGGGCGGCCGGCCGGGGTGCTGGTTGGCCGTAGCCTGGAGCGACAACAGGGGGACTCGGCGGCGGGAGCGGCGGGGGCGTCAGGGTGCAGCGACATCGAGGGGGCGCTACATCGACGGTGCGGCACGGTCATACGACATCGGCCGACGCGGACACGACTTGCTGGATCCTGGTGGGGGGGGCGATGACGGGGGTTGCAGGGACCAGCGGTGTGGGGGGGTCTGGGGGTGCCCAATTCAACCCGCTGTCCGAGAAAGAGATGGCGAAGTTGAGGCGAGGGAACATTGTTTGGAACTACGTCACCGCGGGCCAGTACGTCAGGGACCAGTCGAAGATGCACGGGGACCGAAAGTTGCGTTGCAACTTATGCGGCCACCTGTTTCAGGGGGGGTCATCGAAGGCCGCGCGTCATTTCACGCAGTCGAAGTTCTGCAAGGGTGGGGGGATGAGAGTTCTCGCGGAACTCTGGAACGGCACAGACTACACATTTGTGCCGTCCACTGCTCAGCGGGTGCAGAGGTGGATGGCAGACAAGGGCATACGGGACACGAGAGCGCCCGCGGGTGACCAGGGACAGCGGATGGACGACGTAGAGTGGGACGACATTCAGGACACCCTCGATGAGGAGGAGGCTCAAGAGGGCCGCGAGGGTGGGGCCAGGGAGGGGGCGGTTGCAAACGAGGCAGACGAGGCAGTCGGAGAGCCTAACCTGCCGGGGGAGGAGGTGGTGATGACGTCGAGAGGCGTCGGTGGAGCGGGTCCTGCTACTAGGGCGCCGCGAGATGAGCTGGACCGCGCGAGGAGGGAGAAGAGGACAGTGAGCAGGCTGGCGTCGAGGTGCCAGACACGGGCAGGGAGAAGAGGGCTCAGCTGACCACGATTGTCGAGATGTACGCCAGGGAGAAGTTGGCCGAGTTCCATGACGCGTGGCTTCAGTGGATCTACGTGAAGAAGTTGCCATTCAACGCCTTCCGTGGTCCTGAGTTCCAGAGGGTGCGGCAGGCAGCAAAGAGAGTGCCTCGCTCTATCCAGTTCCGGTTTCCCTCCTTCAGGGTTACAGCGGGGCCGGTATCCCTTCGCAGAGGGCGAAGGTGGCGACGATGGTGAGTGAGGTGCGCACCACTTTTCGGCACAGCAGTGCCACTATCCTTTCCGACGGGAGGAAGTCGCGCAGCGGCAAGCCGCTTGTGAACTTCCTGGCACGGGGCGCCAATGGCGCCCTGCTGTACGCCACCGTCGCACGTGATGGGTTGGTCCGAGACACAGCGGACATCGTGTACCGTAGGTGGCGGGCCATCATCTTGTCCTTTCCTGCAAAGGACGTGATCGGCTTCTGCACAGACTCCGCCAGTAACTATACGGCGGCAGCGCACAGGTTCGCCACAGACCCCGAGCCTGACATCAGGAGGATCACTTGGNTGATCGGCTTCTGCACAGACTCCGCCAGTAACTATACGGCGGCAGCGCACAGGTTCGCCACAGACCCCGAGCCTGACATCAGGAGGATCACTTGGCTCCCCTGCTCCACCCATGTCTGYAACTTGATGTTGTCAGATATCGGGACGCGAGTGGTGTGGGTCAAGGAGACCATCATCCGCGCTCGAGCGCTTGTGCGATTTAWTAAATCGCACGGCGCTGCTCACGCCCTGTTTAGGAAGGTGAGCCCTCGCGTTCAGCTCGTCGAGCCCGTTGAGACACGGTTTGCATCGGTTTTCCTGATGCTGACGTGTCTCAAAGGCCGACGAGACGCATTGGAGAGCATGTTGCACGGGGATGCTTGGGCACGCATCCCATGGGATCGCGCCCACGTATCGCGCCCACGTATCGCGCCCACGTATCGCGCCCACGTATCGCGCCCACGTATCTCAGGCGCAGTGGGTGCAGCAGCAGATCCGGGATGGGGAGTTTTGGCAGCGTGTCCATTACGCCATCCTAGTCATGTCACCCGTCCACCAGCTGTTGCGCAGGATGGATAGAGGTGGGATGATGATGTCCGTCGTTTAGGAGTGGAGTCAACATCTGCTGCAGTTGATGAGGAGGGTCGACGTGCCTGAGGACATGATCGATCCGTGCGTGCGTGAGGTTGCCATCCGCAACCTCCACATGCTAGAGCCAGCACATGCCGAGGCCCACCTCCTCAACCCTCGCCGACGGTCCCTCACGTATTACCATTCGCTGCAGACGACCGTCGAGGACCGCCTTGTGGTCGAGGAGTGCGACAAATTTCTCCTGGCGCAGACCGGCGGCGATCCGGTCGGGTTATTGTACAGGACCGTGAGGGACCAGATGAGGGCGTTCCACTCGAGGCGAGGGGATTGGGGAGACCGTGACCTGTCTGATGCCGAGGCGGCAGATTGCAGGGGGGACAGCGAGACCGAGCAATGTGCAGCGTGGTGGTTCAAGCATGGACGTGCCCACCCGGAGTTGCGCACCATCGCCATCCGTGTCATGCACTTGTGGACGTCTGCCTCTCCAGCGGAGAGGAACTGGGCGGAGCACGAGCGCGTCAGCACGGCGAGGCGCTGCAAGCTTGGGTTCGCCAAGCTTGCACAGCTTGTTGAGATTGCCACCAATCTCAAACTGGCCTCGTGCGCACGACAGGGTGGTGGCTACGTGTTGCCATGGGTTATGGGGAGCGGTCGGGGGGGGGCGGCGGCAGAGGAGGAGGATGAGGAGGGAGATGTGGAGCCCGAGGTGTGCGGAGCGCGACCTGATGGCAGTGTTTCCGAGCAGGAGATCCAGCGGCAGATTGTCGCTTTCCGTGACGGCCGACTGTCCAGAGCCCGTTCGGTTCGGGACGTGTTCGGCAGCAGAGCGACGGAGCTGCGACCGTGGCCGGAGGGTGGGGATGATGTGGACGCTGCTGCGGCAGACGACGACATCAACGACGACTGGACTGAGGATGATGACACGCCGCTGAGTCGCGACCTGACGGCTGAGCGAGTGTACTTCACTTACGGTGGGGGTCGTGGCAGCAGCAGAGCCGGCGGTGGTCATGGAGGACGTTCGCATGCGGAGGTTCGCGTGGACGACTCGGAGGAGCAGCAGCCACGGGGAGGTCTTCGGCACACAGGCAGGCGTTGGGAGGTTAGGAGCGACAGCGAGGCGGAGGGGGAGGTCGAGGATGAGGAGGTGCACCTTCACGATCGTCGCTTCTCCCCCTCCCATCATCCGATCTCTGCACAGCCCGAGGGGGAGCCACTTAGGAGTTCGGAGAGGTTGGCGTCGGCAGCAGGCAGAGACTGGACACATGACGGCGAGGATCGCGGGGGGGAGAGGACTCCTTCCGACGCCGGTATCCGCCGCCGTTCACCGTCGGTGCTCCGCACACAGGACTTCAAGGACATAGGGCTTGGCGGGAGCTTGGGAGATTTGAGTGTCGAGGGACGTCGACGTGCCTCACCGCAGGATGTGCGCATAGACGTGGACGTTGAGCGGGGCCCTGTTGAGACTGAGGAGGAGAGGGATGCCCGTTTGGACCGAGAGGAGGAGGAGCGGCTGAGGAGTTTGCCGCAGTGGGAGGTTCGGTTCGTGTATCTCGACGAGCAGCATCGGCAGAGGGACTTGGAGACAGGAGGGGAGGGGAGCCGTGACGTCGACGACTCGAGTGTCCCTGAGGAGGCGGTTCAGGGCGAGTTCGATTATGAGGGGCAGGATGCTGCCGCGGGTGTCCCTGAGGGGCAGGATGTTGTCATGGGCGGCGGGTCCCCTAGTGGGGGCCGTGGCAACAGCGAGACCGCGGGTGATGAGGGACAGGGTGCCGCAGCATGCGACAGAGGAGAGGATGGACCCGGTGGAGATGGGGATACCGCGGGTGCCGGTGGAGATGATGGACCGGACGGCGACGATGACGACGACCACGGTCCGGAGGACGATCCAGATAGGCTCGCCTTGGTGTTGAGGGACCCCACAGTGCCTCCCATGCGCCCTGACGGCAGAGCGCACACTTTCTTCGACGCCGACGCTTTGGCGCATGCGTTGACGGATGACCGTTTCGCACACATGGGCCGCAAGAGCGGCAAGCAGCGGGCCCCTGGGAGGGCATATTCACCACCGCCGTTCACAGTGGTGAGCCATCACTGGTCGGGTTCGTCGCTCAGCGACGTTAGAGGGAGGGAGTCTGGTGCGGGTGAGGTTGGGTCTGGCAGACGCAGCGACGGCGGCAGAGATAGTGCAGGATCGATGCCTCCACCGCCCGCACGGACTCCGGAGGGCAGGGTCGACACCGAGGACCGGACGGTGGCACCCGGAGTTGCACACAGTGGCGGTTCCCCGTCGCTAGTCCGAGGAGGTGTGGGTGGCGGATGGTCAGCTGTTCGTCGGGTCGGGGACCGGTTGCGGGCGGATTACGACGCCGGGAGGGGCGTCTTCACGGGACGTGCGCCTGCTCAGACGCCGGCTGCGGAGGGCAGGTCCGAACGTCCGAGCCTGCAGATGGCAGGCCGCATGCTTGGTTTGTCAGGAGCGGAAACGAGGAGGACATTGGTCCTAGAGGCCCCAGGGACATCCACGGACAGGCTGCAGGGAGAGCAGTTCACATCGGGCGAGGAGGAGTTGTTGATGCGTCCCGGGACGAGACGACAGCATGGCCTCTCAGAGGTTGAGGCTTGACTCGCTGCAAGGGTCGCCGCTGGGCAGGCAGCGTTGGACGCGATTCAGAGGGAGAGAGAGAGGGGGATTGCTGCACAGGCGGAGGAGGACGAGGACGCAGACACTGAGTCCGAGCCGATCGAGACTGCGGCCCGCAGACACAGGGCACAGGTGACCGCAGCCGCCGCTGCAGCACATGCGGCATACGTCAGTGGGGCACGGGGCACAGGTGCGGGAGGGAGAGGAGGGCACCGGGGAGGATCGCATGCCCGCGCGCGCTCTGGTGGGAGAGGCCACGCGCGCTCTGGTGGGAGATGACGACGTCCGTGGTG